CCAGAGCCCTCAATATATTAGGGCTGGGATTTCGAATATTTTCTGCATTTCTATATCTCCAGCACCTAGACCTGTGCCTGGCACAGGACACATGCTCAGCAAATAGCTGTTAAGTGAATGAACAAAAAGCCCTGGGCTGATGTCCCCACATACTCCTGGGGGCCCCAGAAATAGTTGGACATGCTGTGGCTTTTCTATGCCAGAGGCTCAGAGTCTCAGGGTCAGGTGGGGTCAACTCTGCCTTGCCTGGGGGCCCCTATGCCATATATGAAGACTCTCTCCCACCGCCTGCCTGCTCCACACCCTGTTACAGCTGCAGTCTCCGAGCAGAGAGCCCCATGCAGAGCTCCATCCCAGGACCCTGGAATCATGATCTGAGCCAAAGGCAGATGCTTAACTGACTGAGCCACCCAGGCATTCCTATTCTTTTTTTTTTTTTTTTAAAGACTTTATTTTTAAGAACTCTCTACACCCATGGTAGGCATGGATCTTACAGCCCAAGATCAAGTCTCAGGCTCCACCGACTGAGCCAGCCAGGCGCCCCTGGGATTTTTATTCCTTTTTTTTTTTTAAATTTAATTTTATTTATTTGACAAACAGAGATTACAAGTAGGCAAGAGAGGCAGGCAGGGAGAGAGAGGAGGAAGCAGGCTCTCTGCGGAGCAGAGAGCCCGATGCCGGGCTCTATTCCAGGACCCTGGGATCATGACCTGAGCTGAAAGCAGAGGCTTTAACCCACTGAGCCACGCAGGCGCCCCAAGGGATTTTTATTCCTAATAGTAAAAAGAGTTCATACTTGGGAATCAAGGAGATCTGGACCCCAAAACTGCCTCTATCACTTCCTGTCTATGTATGGCCTTTACTCTCCTTACCCTCAATTTCCTTTTATAAAGGGAAGCATGAAAACGCTCTCCCAGGGCTGCTGATGGGAGAATGTAGGTAACTGGCCAGACACGGCCCGATACTGACTGCCGCCGCCGACACCGCCTCCATTATCACCACCAAAACATCCAAGGCAGTTGCTGGCACACCGCGGACTCCTGTGCAAGGTGCAAGTCAGCCAGTGGGACAGCCTGTAGACCTTGCCCTCAGCGTCCATGCTGGTAGGCGCGAGGCCAACCTGAGGTTCGGGTGAAGAGTGCCCTCTGCTGGGCGCTTGGGGGAAGGGCTTGAGGGGAAACCACTGCACCTCTCACCCCTGAAGTGGCTTTGTGCAGACAGGAAATGTCTCCCTCGGGGTGGGACGTGCAGTTTCCACTCAGTGGAGATAAAGGAGCAGTAACTGGCCCTGTCAGTCTGTTAGCAATCACCACAGTAGAGATAACACTTAGGCGGCCTTGCATTTAGTCCTCCATTTTAAAGATGAGAAGAGCGAGGCACAGAGATGTTAAGAGATTTGTCTAAGGCGACATACACTGACAGTGCTGGAATTTGAACCTGCGCCCTGAACCATGCTTCTTTAGTGGAAAGTGGAAATAGCTCTACATTTAGCCAAAAAGGAGTTGGCTCTCTGTTTTGGAAGTGGACATACATGGTGTGGGCTGAAAAGGGGGCTTTCCATAGTGACTGCCCCCACCCACCAAACTAAGCTCAGGGCCCCCTACTGACTGGACATCCCTCAGCATTTCCTTTCTCAGATCTTCTCGCAGCATCCCTGTGTGGACCGGGGGTCAAGGAAAGTCTGTGCTGAGCACAAGAGGCAATGAATTTGAGGCTTCAGCTACCTGCCTACCTTCCAAGGATGAGTCATTTCCCTCAAGCTGCCTCAAGGGCCTGGACAAAGCTCACCTGGGGAGATCGGTCCTATCTGCGGCCCATCCACTCAGGTTAGCAGCAAGGGAAAATGCACGAAGGGAGGCCTGGGCTCTGCCCATCTCAGCCCTGCTGGAAGGATCCTGGGGAGTGCCTCCTTTTGGAAACTCTTCTCTTCTCCCATCTGTAAAATGACAGGGGTGGATTGGGGGCAGTTTTCAAACTGCTCTGCATTTGGGGGTTAAGGAGAAACATTAGGAAGATGAGGCCAAAGAGGCAAGTCTCAGCCACCTGACGCCTTCTTCCAACAAGTTCATTTAAAAAATTTATTTTTTTAGTAATCTCTACACCCAACGTGATGCTTTAACTCAAGACCCCAAGATCAAGAGTTGCAGGCTCCACCGACTAATTCAGGCACCCTTACAATTTCATTTTTCTTTATTGGACTAGGGATCTGTGACTTTGGATTTTAAGCCTGGGGTGGACATCCCTTAACAGAGTGAGCCTGAGGGGATCCTTTCAACAGCAAGCTGTCATCCTGGACTGACCCCTCCACTTGGAAGTGGGCAGCCTTGATCCCAAACAAGGCCAGGGGGACCCCTCTCACCCATCCCTAGTCACTGGAGGACTGGCTCTGAAGCATTTGCAGGGCTGGGTGCTCCAGAGTTTATTTCAACATTGTTAAGGAAAAAGACTAGAATCATTAACGTCCATGCGTGGTGGCGAGCTCCAATAAATGCTAACCCATCCTGACTGGGTTATGTTGCAGACGTTAAGGCAGCCTCCTCGGCCCTGTTATGAAAGGTATAATGCAAAATGTATGTGAAACATGGGACGGAGACGTTGGAAGGATGCATACCAAATTGTTGCACCACAAAATAGGAAGGATCAACATTCCAGGTATGTCAAGTCAAACATCCGGGCCACTGATATGGCCAGTGAGACTGATAATTTATGGGTGCTAAACTCTGAGTGGTTAGCACTGGTGACTTAACATATTTTGACTTATTACAGGCCTGGGTTTTTTGTTTTTGTTTTTGTTTTTGTTTTTTTTCCCAAATCTCTCAGAGTTCCATTGCCAGGGGAATCTAGATCCATGAACAGAGCCCAGGTTTGGCTAGAAAAGGCCACTTTTCCTCCTCAACACCTTCCAAAACTCCCAGGGGAGGAAGGCCAGCCTGCACAGTGGCTGGTTTTATTATTAGTCTCCGCTGAAGATAGAGTTGCAGGCCTCATTCAGGCTTTTCAGAGGAGTTTAAGATAAGGGGCAGCAGGTGTTTGCTGGCAGAGACACCTAATCCTCTCACCTTATCTGCCAAGAGCAGCAGGGCCCTGGTGGAGGGAGATCTGACCCCCGGAGCCGGAGGCCGCAGCTGGAGGGAGAGGCAGGAGGTGGCCCGGACCTGCAGGCTATGGTGCTGCCCACCAGGGACGGGTGGGAAGGTTTCTCGCCCAGTTGAGTCCCCCTTTGATTTCCCATCCAGGGCCTAGGTTTCAGGACACCCTCTGTCTCCTCCTCCAAAGCCTTGGTCCCAAACTTGACTGTGCATCAGAATTTCCTGGAAGGCCTATTAAGTCACATTTCGGGGCTCATCTGCAGCATCTCTGATTTTGGGCACTCATGCTGCTGCCGCCCATCCAGGAACTGCATTTTGAGTGCCATTGCTTTAGTCACTGTCGTGGGACGAAAACTTTTATTTCAAGTTCAGCCATCCCTTTGGCTTCCTTCCACATGCTTTTCTCTTAGTTCATTGCACGTAAGTTAAACTTCGCTTTAACAAAGGCTCATGTGGAACTGTTCTTTCCCCGCTGTCTCTTCACCCCACCACCCCGTTCCTGCATCCCTGTATTCTTACGGAAAGTTCCAATTTCATGGACATCCTGGGCGAGTTCTCTAATTTTCTGTCTGGCTTGATTTTGATGATGATCAGGTATCATTTAAAAAAATACAATGAAGCCATTCTTTAAGGGAGGAAAATCCCCTCTGAGGATGATTGTGAGGATTTGCTTAAAGGAAATAATTGAAGTTATTTGGCCCTAAAGTGTATTAAATAAATGGTAGCTGTTACCAGTGAACACAAATAGCACTTACAGCGGGCCAGATAGGAAGTCATTTAATCTCCATAAAAACTCCCCATAGGATACATGAAAAATGTGAGGCAAATTGAGGTTAAATGGGACTTGCTAGAAGTAGAAGACTTGGACCCCTCCCTGCCTTTCAATGCGGAGCCCCACCCCACAGAAGAGGAACTCTGCCCAAACTGCAATACCCAAAAGCAGCCACACTCTGCCAGAGGAGAGTCGCCAGTAGCTCTGGTGGGGCTCAGCCCAGGGGTGAGGGGGTTAATGGTTCTTCCACACATGAGAGCAGCTCAGAATTTGTAGAGAGAGAGGAGTGTCTGGCTGGCTCAGTCAGAAGAGCTTGGATTCTTGATCTCAGGGTTGTGAGTTCAAGCCCCACGTTGGGTGTAAAGATTACTTAAAAAAAAAAAAAATTGTAGAAAGGAGGGTAGATTTACCCTTATTAGGCCCACATGGGCATGTATACAAATCCTGAGGGGGCTGCCTGGGTGGCTCAGTGGGTTAAGTCTCTGCCTTCAGCTCAGGTCATGATCTCAGGGTCCTGGGATCAAGCCCGGTATCCGGCTCTCTGCTTCAGCAGGGAGCCTACTTCCTACTTCCCCCTCTCTCCGTCTGCCTGCCTTTCTGCCTACTTGTGATCTCTCTCTCTCTGTCAAGTAAATAAATAAATACGGCCAGCAGGGTTAAAAAATGCTCACACCCCTTGATAATTCTAAAAACCACTGAATTGGGCACTGAAGTAAGTGAATGGTGTGGTATGTGACTCACAGGACAATAAAATTCTAATAAAAAGAAGTTCACTCCCCCAGGCACCTCTGGGAAAAATTCCTTTAATAAAAAAGTTGTAGTACATTTACACGATTGTCATCACCCTTTATCTACAGCACTCAATAGGGAAAATAAAAAACAAAGGACAACATAGTCACGCTCAGTATAAAAACGCAGAAATTCATTCCAATAGATCTTGTTGCTTGGAGAGGAGAGAGAAGTGTGTGGGGGCATAGGAGCCAAGCAGCTCCGGCTGGGTCATCCGGAGCAATCCGAGGGACTGCTGAGAACCCGCCTCTAACTTTTTGAGGACAGAATTAAAAAAAAAAAAAAAAACACCCAGGTTGCAGTAAGAGGACTCATTCTAAGGAGAAGGGTCCATTCCAGAGAGAACCTCTTCTCTCTGGAGGTTTGGGGGCGTGGGGGATGGTCAGAGTCAGTCCGGACATTTATGGCAGGTGACAGACTCCCAGAAATTTGGCCTCGGAGGCAACCCTGGCCTAGTCTAGAGGTTTCCAGAGGTGAAATCAAACTGCCCAAATCCCTCCATTCTGAAAGGCTTAGAAACCAGCCCTTCGCGTCAGACGTGAGGGCTTCTCTCCTCCAAGTTGCTAAGGCCACTTCTTGACAGGCTCCCAAGTCCAGGCTCCAAGGAGGACTGAAGCTCCTTTGGAGAAGCCGCTGCGGCCCAACCTTGAGTCCCTGGTCCCGCGGGGAGGCGGCCTAGTCGTCCTGGCCGCCGCCGTACATGTCCGCCAGCTTCTTGAAGCGGCTGCCCCACTCGTTCAGATAGTCATAGTCTTGGTCCTGGTCAGAGGCTGAGGAGGTGAGGGAGCTCAGGGAGGCGGCGTCAGAGCCGCTGCCCTCGTAGTCGAACACCAACAGGGAGTCGTAGGGCGGGGCCGTGGGGTCTGTGTTGGCCGCCTTCAGGTTCTGTGGCGACAAGAGCAGGCGGTTAGGAGCGGCGCTCGGCCAGCCAGCAGCTGCGGGGCTCGGGCAAGTGGAGCCCACCCTGCTGAGCCTGCGTCTCATCCGTGAGGACATCTCTTCCCTTCAGGAAGGTTTTGGGAGGTGAAATGAAGTAATGCACATAAATGCTGAGCACTGAGCCCAGCATATGCCCAGTGCATGGCGGGACAGGCCAGAGGTCAAGGGCAGGAACTCTGAAATTAGACAGCTTGGGTGAGAACTTGGGCTTCACATCCTAGTTTTGTGACCTTGGGAAAACCCCTTAACCTCCAGGTGCTGTTTTTGTCTTGTCTCTAAACTGGGAGACTTCATATGGTTTTAGAGGAATAAAAAGTATATGTTAAATATACGTAAGGTGCTTATTAGAATAGTACCTGGCACACAGTCGAACATTATCTCCTCATTAGTAAAATGAGGAAACAAGAGGATTCCCTCCCGGCAGCTGGTGTGGGGACTGAATGACACCGTATTTGCAAACTATCTAAATGTCTGTCCAGAGACGTTCTAGAAATGGTCTTCATCTGACTGGAGGGAAAAGTTCCAGGTATTTAGCTCCATGGTACTTTCTCAAACCATCTGCTCTGAGCAGCCTTCCCTGGATGCTTTTGTTTCTGCAGCACGCTCGGATACACTCCTGCTGAAGAACGGAGTCCAACCACCAGGCTACTTCTAGAAGGCAGGAGGCCAGCAGAAAGGTTCAAGGCAGGGTGAGGTATCTTGACTGCCCACCAAGCCCTCTGCCACTGCTGCTTCCTCACACTCCCTAAGATCCATCCATCTATGGCGTCTGGGCAGCTCAGTCGTTAAGCATCTGCCTTCAGCTCAGGTCATGATCCCAAGGTCCTGGGATCCAGCATCGGGCTCCATGCTCAGTGGGGAGTCTGCCTCTCCCTCCCTCACTGCTCTCTCCCAGATCATGCTTGCTCTCTAGCTCTATCTCAAATAAATAAATAAAATCTTTTAAAAAAATTATCTTTTTCCTCCCTCTATCTACCTATCTTTTCCTCCCTCCCTCCTAGACTTCCTTCCTTCCTTGTATTAAGAACCTCCACTTATGGGACCAGTGGAGGTTGGCAGAGCATGCAACCATGCCGACCAGCTGGCTTGGTCGGCAGAGCATGCAACTCATGATCTTGAGGTCTGTGTTCGAGGCCCACATCAGGTGTAGAGCTTACTTAAGAAAAAAAAAAGAGAGAGAGAGAGAGAGGGGTGCTTGGGTGGTTTAGTGGGTTAAAGCCTCTGCCTTCAGCTCAGGTCATGATCCCAGGGTCCCGGAATCGAGCCCCACATCAGGCTCTCTGCTCAGCAGGGAGCCTGTTTCCCCCTCTCTCTGCCTGCCTCTCTGCCTACTTGTGGTCTCTGTCTGTCAAATAAATAAATAAAATCTTAAAAAAAAGAGAGAGAGAAAGAGAGAAAACCCTCTGTTTACTGCTAATGAGGTACCAGCCTATGAAGGCACCTATAATCTGTCTCCTATGTACCTATTCAGTGGTTCTCACAACCCTGGCTGTATATTTAATTTTCAGCGTGGGGAGCTTTAAAAAAAAAAAAAAATCAGAGCCTAAAAACCAAATGAATCCCTGCATTCAGGCATCGCTGTTTTTCAAAATCCTTCAGATAAATCAAACGTGTGACCAGAGTTAAAAGCACTGGAGACACTCAGCTATTATCAACAATAACTATCATTACCTAGTAAATGCTACTTGTCAAGTCAAGAGTTCCTAGACTTAAATTACTTGAGATTTTTTTTTTTTTAAGATTTTATTTATTTATTTGAGAGAAAGAGAATGAGCAAGAGCAAGTGAGTATGGGGTGGGGAACAGAGGGAGAGGGAATTTTTAAAAAATTCTGAAGCCTCGGGGCGCCTGAGTGGCTCAGTTGGTTAACCATCTGCCTTCAGCTCCGGTCTCGATCCCAGGGTCCTGGGTTCAAGCCCTGCATCAGGCTCCTGCCCAGCAGAGAGCCTACTTCTAGGAAGCCTGCTTCTCCCTCTCCCTCTGCTGCTCCCCCTGCTTGTGCTCTCATCAAATAAATAAAATCAATTAAAAAACATTCTGAAGCTTAGGTCACATCCAGATCAATTGTATCAATCTCTGCAAGGAGTTAGAGACATCAGTAGTTTTTGAAGTTCCCCAGGAGAACCCAATATTTGGGAACCACTGCTCCAGGTGCTTGTGCATCCAATCTTTAAAGCAACCTATAATAGGGGAGCTTGGGTGGCTCAGCTGATTAATCACCTGACTTTGTTTTGTTTTGTCTTTTTTTTTTAAAACATCTTATTTATTTGACAGACAGATCACAGGTAGGCAGAGAGACAGACAGAGAGAGAGGAGGGAGCGGGCCTCCCGCTGAGCAGAGAGCCCGATGCAAGGCTCAATCCCAGGACCCTGAGATCATCACCCAAGCCTAAAGCAGAGGCTTAACCCACTGAGCCACCCAGCCACCCCAAGCACCTGACTTTGGGTCAGGTCATGATCTCAGGGTCCTGGGAAGAGGCTGCTTAGGACTCTGTGCTCAGCAAGGAGCCTGCTTCTCCCTCTGCCTCTACCCCTGCTCGTGTGCACTCTCTCAGATTAAGAAAAAGAAAGAAAAGAAATGAAAAGAAAAACAAAATGGAAAGGAAAGAAAAAAAGATAAGAAAAGAAAATGCCACCTATAACAGAGGACCCCAACTCTGCTCCACAGTGGGATCACCTGGGACATTTAAACATTCAAACCTAGGTAGTCTGGCTGCAGAGTTTTCTAACAACTGTTTTATTTGTTGAAAAAATGAATAAATCATTCCTATCCTATTGTTAACTACTCTGCAACTTAGAATTTCACGAAGGAGAAAACTGAAGCCCAGAAGTTACTCAAATATGCCAGAGGTCCCACAGCTGGTTGATGAGGGAGGTAAGATTTGAACCCAGAGCCAAGACCCCAAGCCCACGCTCTTTCTCCCATGCTGCTGATGGTGGAATAACGGGCCGCCCTTAGTTGGCCCCCAGGCCTCACCTCGATGATGAAGTTCCCGATCTCATCTGGGTTGGCTGGACGTGGACGGTACATGGGTGTGGGAATGAAGGTTGGCGCCACATCGTTGCGGAGAACCACCTCAGGACGGGCCTCCAGACCCCGGTGCAATTGGGTGATGTCATAGTCCTTCATGAAAGTGAAGGAGAGCGTGGGATTGAGAACACAGCCCCCCACCATTTATGTTGCAGCCCACTCCCCTGCCACGTGGTGTCCTGGTTCATAGGTAGGACTTAGAAGACAATCTTTGTCAGACATTTATGAAAGCCCTTGTTTCCGTAGCTCTTCTTCCCAAAGGAAGCATAGGCTCGAGGCCGCTCTGACTAGGATCAAAGCGACCGCAGCTATGGACCAGACACCCTCTTGGAAGAGGAGAGCTGGTGGTCAGTCCTGCGTGAAGACCGATGCATTCGGCCAGAGTCTGGTCAATGCAGCTAATGTGGTTTAGTTGGCTGGAACAACGACCCCTGCCAGTGGCCCTGGAGGCATCCAACTCCCCACCCCTAGACCCCTCAGTGCCTCACCTGGTCCTCCTCACCACCTCCCTCTTCACCATAGTAGAAGACATTGTCACGGGTGTCATCTTCTGGGAGCAGAAGGGGCTCCTTCACCTTCCTCTTCCTCCTCACCAATAAGAGGAGCACCAGCAGGAGGACTGGAAGAGTTAGGGAGGTAAATATTTCCCCCCACAATCACATAGCTGGCCAATACCCCCGAACCCTCAGAGCCCAGATAATTTTAGATCCCTCTCCTTGGTAGCCAGTGTTTTAAATACTTTCAATAGCTCCCCTGCACCTAGGAAAACCCCTAACCCCTTATCCAAGTGTACAGGAGCGCCCCCTGCCTGTGCCCGTACATATACACCCGTGAGCGGGTCTAACACACAGGCCTCCTTGGAGTGCCTCAAATGCACCCAGCACCTTCCCCTTCGGGCGCTTCACCTGGGCGCTCCTCCCCTGGAGCGCTGGGCACTCGCGAAGCCACAGCCTAGTACCACCCACTCCTGGCAGCCATCAGACCTCGTCCCCCACCCCCAGAACAGTCTGTATCATTTACTGTCAGTCTGCCCTTATCGGTGATACTGGTCCTCAAGGGACTCTCCCACCAGATGTTATTTTTCCAATAGGACTCTCTTCCAGTCCCCAGGTGACCCCTAAATTAGGCACAGACGTTAAGTTAAAAGCAAGACAGGGCAAGTCTGATGTGGTGCAGTAACTGGAACACAGGTGCAAACGCTATGTTGGTGTTACAAGAGGAAGACTGGCTTTTAGGCGTATGGTTGGAAGGGCCAGCAGGCTACTGGGACATGGGGGTATGGACCAGCAAATGCCCGGCTGTTCTCCCTAATGCCAGGACTGCCTCCAGTGAATCCCATGTATAGAAGGGTCCCCAGGAACCTCTCTGTAGCGGTTAAGTTGACAGGATACGGCCACTATTTACCTTTATCACTTTGGCCTGTTGACAGAACTGATGTCCATCTCTGGCCCAACACAACAGACCTAGTCTTCTTGGGGAGTCTATGGGTTCTCGGGATGCACACCCGATGTGGGCTATACTGTGTTCTTTCCCTCCTACTTTTCTCTCCACTGAATCTGAGGAAAGGCAGGAGGTGAACTGGACTTTTCACCTGTGCCAAAGCTTATGTATCTGCCTACTGACATCTCCATTTGCACTATCGGGCAATTCTCCCCCCATGATCTTTTCCAAACTGGTTAATGGAAACTCTAGTCTCTACTTGTTTGGGTCTTAGAGACATGGATGGTTCTTTTCCTCATACCACATATGAATCTGAACGGATTCTGCCTTAAAATAGGACCATCTCTCATCGTCTCACCCCTAGATTACAGAAATAGCTCTTTAATGCTCTTCCTGTCTCTACCCTTACCCCTGCACAGTCTGTTTAGTAGGAATCCTGTAACACTCAAGTCAAATCACATCACTGCTTTGCTATAAACCTTCTGATGACTTCTTTCTTCCTTCCTTCCTTTCTTTCTGATTTTATTTATTTGGCAGAGGGAACACAAGCAGGGGAAACATGAGACAGAAGGAGAACCAGGCTCCCCACCAAGGAGGGAGCCTGACATGGGGCTTGATTCCAGAACCCTGGTATCATGACCTGAGCCAAAGGCAGATGCTTAACGACTGAGCCACCCAGGCGCCCCGATGACTTCACACTTCATCCAGACCCAGCATGATGCTCCACCACAGCCATCACCTCTCTGACTCCATCTCCTACTTCTTTCCCTTTTGCTTTTTCCACTCTAGCCATTTGTTGCTTCCACCAAGTACAGTGCTGCCTCAGGGCCTTTGCACTTGCTATTCCTGAGATATCTTCATGACTTGTTTCTTCATCTCTTTCAGGTCTTTACTTGAATACCCCTTCTCAGAAAAGCCTTTCTTACCCATCCTACTTGAGATGGCAGACCTCCTCTCTGTGCTTGCTTTTTGCCCATACCAACACCAATTTCTCTGCCAGCTGATTTGTCTGTTCTCTGCACTGGAAAGTAAGCTCCATGAGGGCGGAAAGAGGTCTGTTTTATAAAGTGCTGCACCCCAGTGCCAGAAATAGTGCTGGGTGTGCAGGATGTGGACTAAAGCTTGCCCTTGTTAACTTCCTATTGGACTGCATGTGTTTCTGTGTAAGGACCAATTCAGAGAGCGGAAAAAGCCAATGGGAAAGGTTCTACCTTTAAAGAACTCAGTTTGTAACTAAACACGTCTGCCCCCTAGACCAGGGCCTCTCAAACCCTAGCATGCAATGGAACCCCCGGAGGGCTTGTGAAAACACCGATTACTGGGTCTTAGCCCTAAGCTTCCGAATCAGTAGGTCAGGATGGGCCTGGCCTTTCTAACGAGTTCCTGGCTCTGCTGATACTATTGGTCTGGAGATCGCACATTCAGAACAACTGCTGGAGCCTCTAGGCGACATCACAGTGGGGCTCATTCTGTCTGTTCACCACCGTTTCCCGAAAGCCTGGCACATTCCAGAAGCGCCATAAACCTCTACCCACTGAATGACACCCCTAGAATTAAGAGCATCAGGAACAGATGGGCAATGTTGGGGATGCCTTAGTCCTAGCAGTTCAGGGTAGAATTGGGTCTTTGAATTACCCCATCCTCGGAGGAGAGAGAGTGTGGGTACTTACGCAAGAGAGCCAGGACAGCCCCCAGGATTGGGAGGAGGAAGCCACCCTTCCAAGGGTCGGGGCAGGTATTCGCGTGGCCGTGGCAGTCACACACGGTGGCCTTGATCACCGTCAGCTGTTCATTGTTGCCACGGTCAGTCAGAGAAAGGTGTACATCATAGAGGTCTTGCTTGAGGAACTTCTTCAAGGACAAGGCCACGGTGTTTCCTGGAGGAGACAGGTAACGTTTGCCACAACACAGAGGTCACATTACCTTCTTCTTCTTCTTCTTCTTCTTTTTTTTTTTTAAAGGATATTTACTTACTTAAGAGAGAAAATGAAAGAGCACAAGAGGAGGATGGGTCAAAGGGAGAAGCAGACTCCCCACTGAGCAGGGAGCCCAGCACGGGGCTCGATCCCAGGACTCCAGGCAAATGACCTGAGCTGGAGGCAGTTGCTTACCGACCTGAGCCACCCAGGTGCTCCCATTGTCTTATTTTCTTAAAATCAAATCGATAGTCACATTATCTTTAAAATAATGAAGGTTTTAAAAAGCCATGTCATGCAGAGCCGATAATTTCTCAGCACCATTAGCTACTCAACTGTTCTCCAGAACCCACCGAAGTACATTCTTCCCGCGATAACTAACTCTTTTAGCATTCACGCTGACTGACCACCTGTTTCCCTGCCTGAAAGTTCACTACCTTTTATTATTAGAGCATTTTGCCACTGTAATAGTAAATATGTTTATGCCTCAACTGTCAGATACAATTTCAGTACCTGAAACACCGATGTTTCTGCAAAAGCATTATTTTTCTCATAGATTTATTTATTTCAGAGATAGAGCCCAAGGGTGCAGGGGGAGGGGGAGAGGCAGAAAGCATCTTAAGCAGGCTCCACACTGAGTGCAGAGCCTCACAAGGGGCTCGATCTTAGGACCCCGAGGTCATGACCTGAGCCAAAATCAAGGGTCTGATGCGCAACCTACTGCACCATCCAGGTGCCCTGAGAGCATCAGTTATTAATAAATGCAGGGGCGCCTGGGTGGCTCAGTGGGTTAAAGCCTCTGCCTTAGGCTCAGGTCAGATCCCAGAGTCCTGGGATCGAGCCCCACATCGGGCTCTCTGCTCTGCAGGGAGCCTGCTTCCTCCTCTCTCTCTCTGCCTGCCTCTCTGCTTATTTGTGATCTCTGTCTGTCAAATAAATAAATAAAATCTTAATAAATAAATAAATAAATAAATGCGAACGCACATGGCTGGTGACGTAACAGACATTGGTGAGCAGGTCGGAGAGGCTGCCGGCTGCACCGTCACAGCATCAGTGATGCACACGAGGTTTGGGGGCGCTGGCGGTGAGGCTGCAGTGGGCACAGGGCTAACCTGCCTTCCAAGGCCCAGGGCGGGTGGCAGGTTAACCTCAAAGCAGAAGCCAAGCCAAGTGTCAGTGGGGGTGCACGAGGGGTCCCACTCTGGGGAGGCTGTGTGGCGGTCCGAGAATGGGGAGGAGGGCTACGTTTGTGGGTGAGAAATACAGGGTCAGTGGCTTCTCTGAAGAAAGGCTTTAGTTTATTTACTTTTTTAAAACTTTTATTTATTTGACAGAGAGAGACACAGCGAGAGGGAACACAAGCGGGGGGAGTGGGAGAGAAAGAAGCAGGCTTCAGGCTGAGCAGGGAGCCCAATGCAGGGCTCGATCTCAAGACCCTGGGATCATGACCTGAGCTGAAGGCAGACGCTTAACAACTGAGCCACCCAGGTGCCCTGGACCTTCAGTTTGGACTTGTTTCTCATGGAAGGAGCCATTAGCCGGGGTAGCATGACTTCTCCTCATGCAGAATCCTCACATGCTAGCAGTGTCCCGCAGTCATTGGAGCCACCAAAACCCACCTCATGATGATAGCTCCCCCACCCTCAGGCTTGCTGGCCTATTTCAACACTGACCTCAGGCCACGTTTTGTTCAAAGGTTTTGCATACTTGCTGGGCTCCTCTTAGTAAGAAAGCCTGAAGGGAGGGTGCCTGGGTGGCTCAGTGGGTTAAGCCTCTGCCTTCAGCTCAGGTCATGATCTCAGGGTCCTGGGATTGAGCCCCACATCTGGCTCTCTGCTCAGTGCAGAGCCTGCTACCCCCACCCCTGCCTGCCTCTCCGCCTACGTGTGATCTCTGTGTGTCAAATAAATAAATGAATAAATAAATCTTAAAAAAAAAAAAAAAAAAAAAAGCCTGAAGGGAGACTCCGCCCTGTTCCCATGCAGCAACGGCAGGTGGACAGGGAGCTCTGCGGGCTGAATGTCCGGTCCACGTGTCGAGGTCAAGGTCAGGTATTTCACCCGAACATCCCTACCACCACCCCGCACCCATGCCAGAGGGCGGATTTCACAAGGGATGAGGGCGGTGCTGGTGACTAAGCGGACACTGACTGGGAGTGAGGCTCTCCTCTCATCTCCACCGCCGCTTTGAGAGGAGGTACCTCTAGCCTCATTTTACCAATGCAGGAATTGAAGCTTAGGGAGGCTAAGTAACCAGACTGAAGTCACTCGTGGGTAAAGTTTGGATTAATTCCCCTGACAACAAGAACATGGTCAGAGAGAAAAAACTAAACTTTAAAACCAAGAACCAGGGTCACGTGGATGGCTCAGTCAGTAAAGCATCTGACTTCGACTCTGGTCATGATCCTGGGATGGAGCCCCACACTGGGCTCCCCTGCTCAGAGGGGAGTCTGCTTGATCCTATCCCCCAGCCCTCCCCTTGTTTTCTCACTCAAATAAATAAAATATTGGAAGGAAGGAAAGAAGGGGGGAAAGAGAGAGAGAAAGAAAGAAAACCCAAAAAACCCCCAGAACCAGGTATCAGTACTATCACTGGGTGATGGTACCACTGGACGTTGGCCACATGCTCACACCTCAGTGAGCTAGACCTGTGATTGCTGCCTGGGAAGAATGCTGGTGACAGTGCTTGCTCACTCCTACTGAGCACGGAGTACCAGATAAGAGGCCTCTGGTGAAATCACTTACTTCATCTTCAGGATAACTGGATGGAAGTTGTTACAATTATTGACACAATTCTACAAATAGGGTTAACTGAGGAACAGTGAGGTTTGGTAACTTGTCCATAATCACAAAACTAATAAATGGCGGGAAAATAGCTTCTAGGCCACAAGGGAGTGACAGGAGACCAGCTTGGGTTCCTCAAAGGAAAGGTGCCAGGCATACATACATACCCAGGTGACAGAAATCATAAAACTGAGACAATGTGGGTTATCGGAAGCAGGTCTCCTGAGTCCTTTCTGGGCTGGGCTCAGCAAGAACAACAGACACTGGGCACTGGGTTCCTTCGGGGCAGAGCCAGTGTGTACGGGTTCCCTATTTCCCTCCTGGGGGAGGGAGGGGCCCAAGAGGAAGGGGAGACATTTTAAACCAAAGTGAACAGTGTCTCTCCAGGGGCCTCACTGGCTTTTGGGGCTTTTGGATCTTTCTCACACACCAAGTCCTCACTCACTTGATGCCACTTGACCCCTCCCAGGCCAGTGACAACTGAAAAGCCATGAAAAACTGATAAGCTCTGGAGGGAACGAGAAAAAGAAATGACAGGGAGGTGGACGGGAGCAGGTGTGGCTTCAGCTTCTGGTCCACACTCACACTCTCTGTGGCCTTGGGCACGCTACTTAACCTCTCTGAGCCTCACTATCATCTGTAACTCCAGATAAAAGTACTGCCCACAGAGGGTGGTAGAAACATTACGTAAGGAACGAAAAGATACCTTGCGTATTGTCAGGGGTCAATAAATGATAAGCGACAGAACATCAGTGGTAATGCACAGTGCCTAGATTCAAATTGTGAATTCAAATTATGGCATCATTTTCTGCCAGAATGCCTCTGGCAAGATACTTAACCTTCTAGAAGCCTTGGTTTCCTCATCTGTAAAATGGGCACACCCTGATGTATATATGTGGGTTGCCATGAGGACTGAGCAACCTCATCTATGAAGCGTCTTCAGTACTCTCTAGCACACAGCAGGCATGCTCAGGCCATGTGGGCTATCATCACTGCAGGAGTCCTGGCTCTTTCATCATGTGCGACTGAGAAAGTCAAACCCTCTCTCCCCCTGCCTCAGTTTTTCCAATTGTACTGGAAAGTGGTTGGACTAGAATATTCTTAAAGGCTTACACTAAGTTAATTAAGCAGCATTTGGTTGATGTTCTTAACTCAGTGGAATGTATGTGGGGTTCTGGTATGGGGCACACGCCCACCTACCGCCAGCACTCACTCACCTTTCTCGTTGACCTCTGCTGTCCAGTAGATGTCCGAGTCGTGTGTGAGCTGGGCCTGGAAAGGGGAGGTGTGGGGGGACAGGTCCTTGTCTGTGATGTTCAGCACTTGGGCCACCGGGCTTTGGTTGCAGATGGTGATGTGACGGGGCTCGGGGACGGGGCCGTGGTCGTTGATGTCCATCAGAGTTAGCAGGAGGGTCCCGGTGCCAGTGGTGGGAGGGTTCCCTGTTCATAATTACACACAGTAGCCCTTTCAGCATCTGCCCTTGGTTGGGGTGACAGATGAATGCTAAGCTCTCTGTTCTACCCAATCAGTCTCAGGATGTCCCCATTGATAGCCCAGCTGTAACTTTTCAAGTCCCTCCACGTCCTGCCCTAGTCTCATCATAGATCAAACCAGTGAAGGCAAATCCAGGACAATCATGGCATCATTCTCAGCAGATTTTCCTAACTTATCACAGCAGCTAGAGCCACTACTCATCTGTTCCAAGGGGAAACCTACTGGCCGCCTCAGGGCTGACGCCATGTTTGCTGAGCTCTGCGGCCAGGTCCCTTCACAGTCCTGCCGTGACTTCTCGCCTGCTTCCAGGCCTTGTTTCATCGTGTCAAGCAAAGACATCAAATCACACCACAACCCCCAGCTCTGTCAGTGTGACATCACTCATCAATCACACCACTTCCCAGGCAGCCCCTTCTAATCAAATCACAAGGGGAAACTGACAGTCCGACCCAGGTGTCAGTGAACCACACACTTGGGATGAAAGAAATCGTTCTCCTAATACGTGGGTCTTAGGGAAACCATAGCCAGTTCTAGTCTTTAAAAGTCTCCTCTGGGGGCGCCTGGGTGGCTCAGAGGGTTAAAGTCTCTGCCTTCGGCTCAGGTCATGATCCCAGGGTCCTGGGATCGAGCCCCGCATCGGGCTCTCTCCTTGGTGGGGAGCCTGCTTCCTCCTCTCTCTCTCTGCCTGCCTATCTGCCTACTTGTGATCTCTCTCTGTCGAATAAATAAATAAAATCTTTAAAAAAAAAATAAAATAAATAAAAGTCTCCTCTGCAAGTCCTCCGTGGCCCTCCAGATTGGTTTGCTGATAGCCCTCCCTGACACCCTACTCGGTTCGGGGAAGGGATGTGCTATGCTGTGGGCTCCAAAGGCACCGAAGCGGACGGGCTAGGAGGAAGCGCTTACCGTCATCTGTGGCCAAGACCACAACTTTATAGACATTGTTCTTCACAAACTGTTCATCCTCACGGTCTAAGACCCCTGTGGCGGTGACCTGCCCACTGTCTGGGTCCATTGCTAGCCACCCTGCTGGCTCTCTCAGGATGTGGTAGCTGGAATGGAAAAGGTGGGAAGAGTCATACCCAGTATACTTAGAATTCTGGTTGTCATTCCAACTGGCAGACGGTGTCATGGGACTTGGGGCTCCCAAGCATGATCACATGCGAAATGCACCTCCCCGCCAAATGGGAGCCTAAGCAGCAGGCAGACAGCCCAGCAGGGACACATGATAGAGAGTGGCTATACCCGGCCCCTGGATCTCTGCTCAGAGTCCTCAGCCTTGGGGAGGGTAGGAAGGGAAGCCACTGTGCAGGGGTGATGGTCAAAATATGTAGCAATCTTGACGGTAATCAGAACAAGCGCTGACCACAGCAAACAGCCCCTCTGATGCTACTAGTGCTTCTGGATGCTTCCAAGCCCGGCTCCTGGTTACCTGATCTTCTGATCCCCCTGGTCAGGATCCTGTGCTGTGTAGGTGCACACAGGCTCCCCGACAGAGATGCCTTCCTGGACCTCAATGACTTTGGAGGGCGGGACAAACGCAGGTGCTTCATTCACGTCGACCACGCGGACCACTACGGTGGCTGTGGACACTGGGAGCTTCACCACAAAGGGGGCCTCGTTGGTCACTTCAATGTACAGGACGTGCTGGTTTTTGGCCTCGAAGTCTAAGCCCTGCGGGAGAAGAGGAAGGACCTGAGCTGCCAAAGTCTGAGGAGGACCCACGCAGTGCTGTGATGTCAGAAAGAAAGGGCCTGTGGCCAGGGGCTGGAAGCTCCCAGCATCCACAGTACTGTCCTTCCCGGGGCGCCTGGGTGGTGCAGTCGGTTAAGCATCGGACTCTTGGTTTCGGCTCCGGATGTGATCTCAGGGTTGTGAAATCCAGCGCCATGTAGAGGCCGGCATTGAGCTCCATGCTCGGTGCTGGGTCTGCTTGAGTTTCTCTCTCTCCCTCTGCCCCTCCCCTGCCTCTCTCTCTAAAACAAATAAATCTTTAAAAAAGAAATCCTGTCTTTTCCATAAAGCCTTTCTTGCACTTTTTTTTGAGTGGAGGGAGAGGGAGAGGGACAGAGAGAATCTTAGGCAGGCTCCACGCCCCGGTGCCGAGCCTGAGTGGGACTCGATCTCACAACCCTGAGATCATGACCTGAGCTGAAATCAAGAGTTAGACACGTAACCATCTGAGCCACCCCGGTGCCCCAACCTCCCCAACCTTTCTGAGTGGCTGGTAGGGCCTTTCAGACTACCCCGTAGACCTGTAAGCCCTAGGGCTGGCTCCCAAGAGGGTGGCGCAGGGCGTGCAGTAGAAACCTGTGGAGGCCTTTCTGGTTGTCCTAATGATGGGGATGCTGTTGGCATTGATAGGCTGGGGTAGGGACACAAAGAACTGTCCCAAAGGCCATGTGACTTGCCAGGAGCCCCTTGGACGTTCATGTATTCATGGGTGTGAAAACTCTTGTTTACTATTTGTCTTACATATAAACTAAGTTTTTGGTGTTGTTTTAATATATACTGACTTTTCCAGGAATGCAACTTCTGAGGGGAGCTTGTAGTTCGGTTTGTCCAGGCCTTTCCTAAAAGTTGTGTATTTGCTGTTCGGTGAAGACATTGGTATGCCTGTGGGACGCATGAGCCGCCTTAGTGACATGCAGTTTCCACCTCATTTGGACGATTCCACAAAGAGATGCAAGTAACTAACTACTTCATTATGTTTTCTAGTATGTACCCCAAACTTTCTGTATTACATACAGAAATATCTTATTATCAGTAATTTTCCTGTAAGATTCTCCTTTATTTCATAGTTAGGGTATTCTATTTTTCTAGAAATTGTGTAAGTTATAAAAGTTACATTATAAATGAAATTCATAATGAGGGCATTGCAAAGTTTTTGTTGCAGGAAGGAGATAGTCGGGGGCGCCTGGGTGGCTCACGGGGTTGGGCCTCTGCCTTCAGCTCAGGTCATGATCTCAGAGTCCTGGGATCAAGCCCCACATCAGGCTCTCTGCTCAGCAGGGAGCCTGCTTCCTCCTCTCTCTGCCTGCCTCTCTGCCTACTTGTGATCTCTGTCAAATAAATTAAAAAAAATAAAATCTTAAAAAAAAAAAAAAAAGGAGATAGGGGCACCTGGGGGGCTCAGTGGGTTAAAGCCTCTGCCTTTAGCTCAGGTCATGATCTCAGGGTCCTGGGATCGAGCCCCACATCAGGTTCTCTGCTCAGCAGGGAGCCTGCTTCCTCCCCTCTCTCTCTCCGCCTACTTGTGATCTGTCTGTCAAATAAATAAAATCTTTAAAAAAAAAATATAGTCACTAAAGTATATAAAACCCTGCTTCTCTAAGTCACTTTTTTTTTTTTAACATTTTATTTATTTATTTGACAGACAGAGATCACAAGTAGGCAGAGAGGCAGGCAGAGAGAGAGGAAGGGAAGCAGGCTTCCCGCTAAGCGGAGAGCCCGATGCAGGGCTCGATCCCAGCACCCTGGGATCATGACCTGAGCTGAAGGCAGAGGCTTTAACCCACTGAGCCACCCAGACACCCCTAGGCCCATCTTCTTAAAGCATCAATTTTATTCAAAGACTTTTTGAGAGGCAAGCATATCTCTAACTACGAAGTAACTTAAAACATTTTACTATGCAAAAACCTAGATATGTATTATGGATTCAGTGCAAAACTAGCAAGAATTCCAATAAAACAGAGACCCTCTGTGTGAGAAGACTAACTGTGGGCAGCCTCTGGATGCCAGGATCTGGAAGGAGGGGCTCTACTAATCTGCCTCCATCAGAGCAGTGACTCTCATCTGTATTATGAATGGACTCCCTCGGGGTAAGATACACTTTGAACAAATTCATTCCTCAACATGACAGGGATGGGAAAGTGTCAGAAGGCACAGGCCTGCTGCACTCCGTGGTGAACGTTCCAAAGTAAGTGTCCCCAGGCAGGCGGTACGCTGACTGTCCCTTGTCTAAAGCCCGAATGGACTCACCTTTCGGGTCGTCAGGATGCCCTGGTTGCTCTCGGGGTGGGTGGTGATGGTAAAATGGCCCCCGTCGTCACCTTCCAGGATGCGGTAGGTGGCGCACCATGCCGGCGAGCTGGGGGCATCCAGGTCAGTCACCGTCAGCCTCTGCACCTCCTGGTCCACCGTGTTCTCAGGTACCCGGGCCTCGTACTGTTGGCGCAGCAAGCACGGCACCATCAGAGCAGAGACGGACCGCCCACCCCGAGACTGCTCCCCTCTTCGCCAGCTGTGGGTCCTCCGGGCAATTCAGTCTTCCTGGGACCACCCAACCCACACCCCACGGTTTCAGGACCCACACAGATGCAGCATGTCCTCACAGCCGCTGGGAGAGACCACAGGGACCTGTTTTTCCTACATCTGAGGGCAAAATACTCCCGCCAGCTCGCTGGGTCTGGGTGCCCTGAACCCTGCCATGTGTGGCCGTCTACCTAGCTGAGATCGGAAAGGTATGAAGACGGTGGCAAGGAGGACTAGGGGCCTGATGGCTCTATGGCCTGGATCAGGAACATTTTTGGAAGTTCTGGGACAGGTGGCAAACACTGGGAGCTCAACTGCTTGCAGCAAATTTTTACTCAAGCCTAAATCAGGTTTAGGAGCCAGTTATCTATGCCCCCCTGCCCCCGAGTTATCTAATGACGGAAGGGGGTAAGTTGATTGGCACGGAGTCCTCTGTCACCGGAGGTGTGCAGAGCATTCTCGGGGGGGAAGGTGGGCACGTACAGCTGTGAGGCCAATTCTAAGTGCTCATACTGTTGAACACTTTTCTTTCTTTCTGCCCATTCTTCTTCCTTTCGGTAAACTCCACCCCCAACGAGGGGCCTGAGCTCATGACACGGAGATCAAGAGTCAGTCACATGCTCCAATGACTGAGCCAGCCAGGTGCCCCTCAACATGGCTTTCGTATCGAGCACTTCTGTACCGGGAATGGTGTTATCAACTATCCAGAGATTATTCCTTTCAACACAGAGAATGATGCAAGGAATATCATCATCTTCATTTCACAGATTAGGAAATAGGGCGCAAAGACGTTAGGCAGTTTGTCTCTTGTCACACAGCCTAGTAAGTGGTGGGGCAGGACTAGAAGCAAAGTGAGCTCGTTCCAGTTTCATTAGAAAGAAAAACCTGAGCCCTTCATCATCTGCGGAGGGAAGGACTGACCAGGCACTCACCTTCTGAGGCTCAAACACGGGAGCGTTGTCATTGGCATCGAGGATTTCGATTATGGCCACTGCAGTGGTGGTAGAACCATCCCCGTCCATGTCTGTCGCCTGGATGGTCAGTGTGTACTCGGGGACTCTCTGGAGAGGAAAGGAGAGTTCAGGCTGAGGGGCCCCTCAGCCTGGGCTCCCAGAGGCACAGCCCTGCGTGCATGTGGAGGGAAAGGGAATCTCTCCCCGTCTCCCATTGTTCTCTTGAATCCCCTCCCCACCACTCACCCACCATAGGGAAGAATGGAGGTAAAGGGTGGAGGGGGAGGAGAAATGCAGACCCACACAGTTCCCCTGGGCCAGCCAGCAGTGCAGTCTGGGGACTGCCCCCGACCCTGGGCTGATGCAGAATGGGAGCTTTGAGCGGGGATTTGGGCAAAGGTATTAATTAGGAAACAGTAGGCGACTCTAGCATTCTTTGAGCTAATTCTACTTTGTAGCACACAAGGGACAAAAATCTGGGCAATGTGCATGCTAAGTGAGCCATTCCAAGAGGAAATGAGAAAACCTACAGAAAATATCAAACACCTGCATTTTACTGCTGCCTCCTCGACCTTAACGAGATCATCCGGCACCATGCCGCTGGCTTCAGAGAGCTGAGGGACGTCAACACGGGAACACAGTAGCAGCCACCCCAGCTGACTTGATTCTCGCCGCTCTGCCTTAGGCTATGGGGCATGGACAGGGGCTTCCTGCTCTTGTGTTAGGCCCCAGCCTGAGCAAGGCTGGAAGGACAGCACTTTCCTTAGGAGCTACTCACCTCCCGGTCCAGGCCACTGGAGATGACGCTGATGGTGCCCGTGCTCCGGTGCACAGTGAACATGAGGTCATGCGGATCCTTTGGCTCTTGGCTATGGATAGAGTAAGCAACCACCCCATTGTACGTGTTGACAGCATCGTCCTCATCTGTGGCTGTCACCTGCATCACAGAAGTGCCTAGAGGAGAGAAGGCACGAGTGAGCATCCTTCCCTCCCTGCTCTAGTCCCAGCCTTGCACACTTCTGGAATTCTGAGAGACTCCATCCTGTTCATTGACTTGGACCCATCTTCCACTTTGTGGCAGATTGCTAGTTGGGGTCTGTTTTCCATTCTCTGCTCCTTTCTTAGAAACGAAAACCTCAATCATGTTAAGCTGAGCACAGGCCTGCCTGGAACAAAGACCATCTATTTCCCAAGAATGAGGCTCTGAGATTAAGAACTTGCCCAGGGTCATGGGTGAAGAGGCAAATCAAGATTCAAATCAAGATCTTTGTAGCTCCAAAGCTAGTGGTTCCCAAACCTGACTGATCATCTGAATCTTCTGGGAAATTTTTTAAATATACAGATTCCAGGCTATATTCTAGGAGCATTCTTATTCAGGGTTCTTGGGATAGGATGCGAAAAATCTGAATTTTTTAAAAAAATTGTACTTATTTGATAGAGTGAGAGACAGTGAGAGAGGGAACACAAGCAGGGGGAGTGGGAGACGGAGAAGCAGGCTTCCCCCTGAGCAGGGAGCCCAATGTGGGACTCGATCCCAGGACCCTGGGATCACGACCTGAGGTGAAGGCAGACACTTAACAACTGGGGCACCCAGGCGCCTGGAGATTTTTAAGATGATCCCAGGATGCACAGCTGAGGAAATCAGGTAAGGAGGGTTCTTACAGGCTTTAGGTGCCTGGTCTGACCTCCAGATGGTTCCAGAAATTGACCCAAGGCTAGGTCTGGGCCCAGCAGACCACCCCAGCTATCTGCCACTCCCCAGTCCTCTTACCAGGTAATACCCCTTCCAAGACACTCCCTCTGAAAACATCCTGGGTGAACTTGGGCTTGTGGTCATTCTGGTCTGTGACAATGATGGAAATGTTCATGGGGTCTTCCACTGAGGCACCATTCTCCGATACGGCGTGGCCAAAGAGCTGTGGGTACACAGGTATAGGGTCAGCCTGGCCCCACCGACCCACGGGGTCCTGCTTCTTGTCGGATGCTACAGGTTACTTGCCTCATACTTCGCAATCTTCTCCCGGTCCAGGGGCTTATTCAACAACAACCAGCCTGTTTCCTTCTCTATGGCGAAGACACCCTCGGGGGGACTGTCTGCTCCAGGCCCTGTGATGCTGTAGAAAATCTTGGTGCCTCTGTCCTTATTAGATTTGAGCTGGAAGCAAAAGAAATTGGCAGCTGACAAAGTCTCAACTATCTCAGGATGGCAACAAAGGCGAGGAGGGCTGGAGAGACACTGCCTTATCAGAAACCAATCCCGTTACCAAGGCTTTCAGGAGCAAGAAACCCCATTGGCAGGCCTTTGGGTGAGGGTCCCTGCAGCCACCCAAGACTCTGGGGAGAAGGCACAGTCATACCTGATTCAGCCTCTGGGGGAAGGGGCCCTTGCCATTCTCGGCGACAGATATTGGTGGAACCACCCATTCTCTCTTGTGTCTTCGCAAGACGCGGCTGGACGGGGAGATCTTCAGTGCTTTCCTGCCCTGCAAGGAGAGGAGACTCCTTAACACAAACAGCGCACAGCTGGAAGACACCCGACATCCTCGCACTTTGAGGAGTTTAAGGATGAGGAGAGAGACCTAAAGGGGTTTACTGCGAAAGACAAATTGAAAATAATCCTAAAGTGTTCATTTGGAGAGAACCAACCGAACACACATTATAATACTTCCATCTAGTCGAACTGCTCTACAGCTCTAAAAATGAGGAAGAGGAAGTCTATGTGCTGACACGAAAGATCTTTGTTATATGCTGTTAATTGAAAAAGAACAAGGTATACTAAACTGTAATCTGGTTTAGTATTTTATTTAACAACTTCACATAGTTAATACGTATCGTCTTTTGTGTGAAAGGGTAGGAAAATAAGATGGTGTATTCATAGTGGCTCACATATAAACAAAGTATGGGGGCAGACACAAAAGAAACTAACGACAGGGTTATCTGTGAGAAGGGGACAGGCAGTATACTGATCTATTTTTAAGTGAAGAAAGAAGGCGCAAACATGTGAACAGCATGCTAGCTTTTGCATAAAAGAGAGGAAAAAAGGTCTGCGTATCTATCTATATATATAAAATATACAACATGTTTAATATAAATAAATATAGAATATATAAAGAAACTTTAGAAGGAAAAAACTGGTAACAGCAGTTATCTGTATCTTGGACAGGGCATTAGGTAGATGCACAGAAACAAAGGGAGGTTATTCATTGTGTAACTTTTTATTATTATTATTTTAAAAGATTGAGAATTTATTTATTATTATTATTATTTTTTAAAGATTTTATTTATTTATTTGACAGAGAGAGATCACAAGTAGGCAGAGAGAGAGGAGGAAGCAGATGCAGGGCTCAATCCCAGGACCCTGGGATCATGACCTGAGCTGAAGGCAGAGGCTTTAACCCACTGAGCCAGCCACCCAGGTGCCCCAACTTTTTATTATTTCTTAATTTTTTGAACCATGTGGATATATTAGGTCTTTAAAAAATTAAAAGAGAAATGTGGCTGAGTGCCTCGGGTCTGTCTTCCCAGAGGCTCATGGGATCGACATCCCTTCCCTGGGGGGCTTAGCCAGATGATACGAGAAAGAAGGAAAGGGAGGTGGAACGGGAATCCCTAGGGCAAAGGGTACTGGGCCGTTGCTCACAGGGCAGTTCTCTGCCCCACTGGCTTGACTCTCTAGCACCCCTAGTGGGAGGTTTTAAGCTGTGGGCAACCAAGGGCCAGCACTGCCTTTTCTGAAAGGGCAACATGGTTCATAATGGCCTTAGCAACCTCAAACTCCTGGCTAGCAGCAAGCTGGGCATACACAGAGAACAGCTTTCTCCTGTGTTGCAAGTGTACGTGGTGTTTTACCTGAACTGTTCTATCATTCTGCCCAGTGAAATCACCATCAGTGCCAGGCAGGGCTGACTCTTCCCCAGGGCAGTCCATGCAAATCACTGTGGGGAAGAAAGAAAGAGAATATTAGGAAAGAGGGGGCTTCTGGAAGCTACCCCAGCGGGCTTCACCTGACAATAGCCCTCTGACTGGATCAAGGGCTGTTCCAAGTCAGAAGGAGACTGGCTTTTGTCTCCATTGTGATCAATTATGAATTTCAGATGGGGCTTCCAACTTTGGTCTCGAGAGGGACAATCACTTTGTGGTTTGTGAACCCAGGCCCTTTCTTTCCTCATGACACCTGAAGAATCAAGATCATAGGCATTCAGCTCATCAGCCCCAGATGGCCTCATAAGACACAAGGTAAACCCAAGGTCATAGCTGGAGGCAGGAGGTTTTTAGCATTTTGGAAGATCACGACTCTACCTACATGCAATATACATCCTGCTACCACAAAAGATGGTTCTGGACCACCTCTAGGTGTTTCAACTTATCACATTCATCATGTTTTAGTTTAACATGCTCCCTGTGAATCCCCTCTGCTTGGTCACCCTTTAAATAAGCAAACATGTGAACAGCATGTTAGCATGAGGTGCTAACTACCATTCACCAAGCCAGAGTCTGGATCCATTTCATCCGGACAATTACTTTAACCACCAAGGTAGGTATTAGTTTTTTTTTAAAGATAAGAAAACTGAGGTTCAGAAGCCACATCAGCCTGACTCCAACGTATTCGCTAGAGAGTGTTCCCTGATTCTGGCCCAGACACCAATGTGTCCTTTCACTAGGCTGCAGCACGACAAGGCCCACAGGGACAGGCACAGAAATGTCGGCGTGAGGCCTCCCAACCGTCCTTTTTTTGAAAAATTGTCCTTTAGTCTCAGATGGTGATGATTGCTTTATTTTCTCCCTCTGTGCCACCACTCCTCTCCTCCTCTACGATGAAGATTGTTTAAAAAAATCCTTTCTTGGGGCACCTGGCTGGCTCAGTTGGCAGAGGCTGCAACTCCTGATCTCGGGGTTGTGAGTTCGAGCCCCATGTTGGGTGCAGAGATGAATCTGCAAACAAGGAAGGATAACAGATGTTTTGTTTTGCTTTGTTTTAGATTTTACTTTTAAGAAATCTCTACATTCAGCGTGGGGCTCAAACTCACAACCCTAAAACCAAGAGTCACATGGTCTACTGACTAACGCAGCCAGGTGTCCCAAGAGATGAGTTTTTTTTTTTTTTTAACTACAAAAGTAATGTGAACACGATGAAGTATTCAAACAGTACATGAGTATAATAGTAAAAAGTAAAATTCTACTTTTTTTAAGTAGGCTCCACACCCAGAGGGGAGCCCAATGCAAGGCTTAAACTCATAATCCTGAGTCATGACCTGAGCCAAAACCAAGAGTTGGACAACTTAACCAACTGAGCCACCCAGGCGCCCCTAAAAAAACTAGAATTCTAAACGATAAATATCCAGAATATAAAAAGAGCTCCTAAAACCCAACATCAGAAAACAAAGGACTGAAAAGACATTTGTCCAAAGAAGATACACAAATGGCCAATAAGCCTATGAAAAGATGCTCAGAATCATTAGTTATTAGGAAAATGCAAGCATAAAGCTCAACGTGATACTACCCCACACCCACTAGGAAAATGATTTTTAAAGTATTTTTTTAAAAAGATTTTATTTATTTGACAGAGAGATCACTAGTAGGCAGACAGGCAGGCAGAGAGAGAGAAAGGGGAAGCAGGCTCCCCACTGAGCAGAGAGCCCGATGTGGGGTTCGATCCCAGGACCCTGAGACCATGACCTGAGCCAAAGACAGAGGCTTTAACCCACTGAGCCACCCAGGTGCCCCAAAACTATTTTAAAAAGTGGGGCAGGGGTGGGGAATAACAAGTGCTGGCAAGACAAGAAGAAACTGGAACCCTGTGGCACTGGCAATGGAAAATGGGCAGCTTCCCCATGAAACAGTCTGGTGCTCCTCAAAACGTAAACACAGCCAGCGCAGGACCCTGCAGCTCTCTTCCCAGGTGCACATCCCAAGGAACGGAAAGCAGGAACACACGCAGGTACCTGTACGACAGTTTCCACAGTATCATTTTTCACAGTAGCTGAGAGGAGCAAACCACCCAAGTGTTCACTGAGAGATGAACGGATCAATGGACTGTGGTATATCCACGCAGCAGAATACGATTCAGTTTTCAAAAGTAACACAATTCTGACACGGGCTACAATACGGACGACCCTTGCAAACGTCATGGTACGTGAAATAAGCCAGTCAGAAAAGGACAAACACTGCAGGATCCCGTGTGTATGAGGTACCAAGAACAGCAGAGAGAGAGAGAAGACTAGAGGATCCCGGGGCTGAAGACCGGGCAGATGCGGAGTTACTGTCCAACGGGGACAGAGTTACTGTTCAGGATGACTAAAAATTTCTGGAGATGGATTACGATGCTGGTTGCAAAACACTGTGAATGTGCTTGAGCGCCACTGAATTATTTACTCTAAGATGGATAAAACGGTCAGCTTTATGTTATGTGTATTTTACTTCAATAAGAAAAAACAGCAGAAGTCTGCTGTGGGCGTGTAAAACGGAACAGTCATTTTGGAAAACTGTTGGGTAGTATTTACCACAGCTAAATATGCACATTCCCCAAGACCTAGCAATTCCACTTCGTGGTAGAGACCCAGCCAACACACACATTCACCCGAAGGCATGTGTTACAATGCTCACATCAGCACTGCTTCTAACAGGGAAAAACTGGAAATAGCCCAAAGGTCCACCGAGGCAGAATGGATAGGAACACCATGGTATATCCACATAATGGAACCAGTTAGCCACAAGGAGATGATGACGGGATGAATCTCACAAACCTACAGCTGAATGAGAGGCCCAGTGCGGGGCGCCTGGGTGGCTCAGGGGGTTAAGCCTCTGCCTTCAGCTCAGGTCATGATCTCGGGGTCCTGGGAGCGAGTCCTGCATCAGACTCTCTGCTCAGCAGGGGGCCTGCTTCCGCCCCTCCCCCAACGGCCCTCTGCCTACTTGTGATCTGTTTGTCAAATAAATAAATAAAATCTTAAAAAAAGAGAGAGATTGAGAGAGAGAGCAAATGTCCTGGTGTGAGAGAGGACAGCGTTGACATGAGGTTCAAGAACAGGCACAACAAACCTAAGTCAATGAAGTTAAGACCCAGGTCATCCTTCCGGACAGAGGGGAGTGAACAGGAGGAGGAAGAAGGGAGGCTTAAAGGCATACAGAGCGCCTTCGGCTCCACAGAACCCAGTGCCAGCTCGCTAGAAGCCAATAGCTCACAGAGAGAAGCAGAATCTGGTGGGGGAAGGCTGGAATATGCCTGTGACAAGGAGAAGATACTTTAGACACCAGGTCCCCACTGAAGAGTGGTGGCCTGTGACATGCTTGGCCAGCAGGAGGGGAAGGAGGATTCTAGGCCTGAGTCAGCTCCAGAGGGTCCTGGAGGCAGCAAGACTCCCAGGGTGACCCTGCTCTTCACATCCTACACACAGCTGTAGAGACCCATCTTCTGAGGATTCTGGCTTTGCCCGAGGGCTATAAGGACCAGACATGCTATATCGCAAAGGTTAGATCACCTTAATATAGGGCAATAGTTAGATAATCTGTGGAACGCTTACTCCACAGATTATTCATGCAAGTATGCAGAATTATAGTTATAGCAGAGTTTTTAAGTTATCTAGGGAAGTTCTTATGCTATGAAGTGAAAGACAGTAAGCAGACCGTAGAAAGGAATATATGCAACAATGCACATTTCAAAAGACTAGAAGGAAATGAAAATTTCCAATGAGTGGGGTTACCAGCAACTTCTTTTTCAAATTTTTCGGTCAGATTTTTCTCTTAATATGAATTGTGTTGTTCTCCCCACATATATTGTAGTCCTAACCCCCAGTACCTCCAAATGTGACTGTATGCGGAGACAGAGCCTTTAAAGAGGTGACTAAGTTAAAATGATGCCATTAGGGTGGGGCCCAAGCCAGGATGGCTAGTGTCCTTCTAAGAGGAGGGAATCTGGACACAGTTATAGAGGGAGGAGAGAAGACAGCCATCCACAAGCTAAGGAGAGAGGCCTCAAACAAAACCAAACCTGCTAAGGGCTTAATTTTTGCTCCTTAAGCCCCCGAGTCTGGGTTACTTTGTTACAGAAGACCTAACAAACCAGTTCAACCTGTACCACTCTCAGGAGTCAGGAATCCCTCCCCTCTTGAATTCCTATTAATAGCTGATATTTAAGTAAATTTTTAATTTAATCTTCACCAAGCACCCTATGAAGCAGATTTAAGACCATTATCTAGAATGTGAGAAACAGAGATTAAGTGAATTCACTGAAGTTACTTACATAGCTAGGCAACAGAGGAGCTAGAAAGCAGTACCCAGACCTCCATGGCCTGAGTCATTGTCTTTTTTTTTTTTTTTTTAAAGATTTTATTTATTTATTTGACAGACAGAGATTACAAGTAGGCAGAGAGGCAGGCAGAGAGAGAGGAGGAAGCAGGCTCCCCGGGAGCAGAGAGCCCAATGTGGGGCTCGACCCCAGGATCCTGGGATCATGACCTGAGCCGAAGGCAGAGGCTTTAACCTACACTGAGCCACCCAGGCGACCCCTGAGTCATTGTCTTAACCACTATGGTTATTTTGTCTCTCTGATACACTCAAGAGTTTGTTTACTTATCTCTTCCTCACCTCCCATTTCCTGTTCTCCTTCTCCATCTATGAAAATGGAGAGTCTGATTTTTAAATGGCCAGTGAGGCAGTGCGGTCCTTGGAGGAAAGCACTAGACTTTGGGAAAGTGACAGTAACACTCTCACAGGGTTGATGTGAGGATTAAATGAGAGTGTAAGTAAAGGACTGATGAAACAATGCATGTCAGGGTCTGCTTTGATGCAGTTAATGGACACAGAGACCCCTGCAGGCACTGACATTAACTTACTTGGTGATCCCGGGTAAGGCGCTTGAATTCTGTGGGTCTCAGAATCAATTGTTTGCTCAAGTTTTATGCCTGAGGCCTGCTTTCCCTTGGTTTAAAAGGAGAGA